CAGGTCGACCTCCACGCGGTTCCCCCTGGAAACCATCATGTTAAATTCCTGGTGAATTTGCATGATGGGCTAACTGACCTGACCTCATGTTCATCTTATCATCCTCCACTGGTGCCCCGCCAGCGTAAACCGTTAGCGCAGGCGGGTGCACCATTCCATTATCAACCCACAAAAAAAAAATATAGTGGCTAATCAATGAATGTCCATTTCAGTTACCGTACTAATATAATAAAACTGCGGACAATACTGATGGACTCGCCGCAGCGTCCGTCTGAGCGAGTGGTCCGCTGGACACAGTACATGTTGAGACACGGCGGGGCACGACACCTGCGCGCGCCCGCCGCCAACATGTCCCATGCTGAATTCTTCGAAATAGAACTATTTTTAATATTGTTTACTATTTTATTTATTTGCGGTATCGTCGTATACCGTTTTTTAAGTTATGTCTCTGAGAAATGTTTTATATTACTTTTTAATCAAATAATTGAAAGGCTTAGGTAATAGTAGATTAATAAATCATCAATATCATCATCAACATTATTGAATTAGTTTTACCCTATTATTTGGGGTCGGTTATGTAATTTTCTTTCACTGATCCCTATTAGATATAAATGTTAAATATAAGTAATTTTCTATATAATTTGTAGTTTTATTGAATTTAAAAATTACAAAGGACTCTTGGACAAACTTTTACAAAGGACACACACTTCTTAAAGATGTATAAAGATATATATGTGTATATATTTTAATGAACGATAAAATAGAATAGAATAGAAGAATAGAAAATCAAATAAACTTAATTTAAGCACTTTTGAACAGTCAACATTTTTTTAAATCTACCGCTTATTCGGAAAGCTGTCTCATCACAAGAAGAATAAGCAAGAAACTTGTGTGGTGCTCTTTTAAACAATCCTTGTAAGTTCACATTTTACAAGTCGAAACGTGTGAATACAAAGTACTAATCAGCACTAATTTATTTAGGCTCAAATATAAAAACACAATAAGATTAAATAAGTCTAGTGATAAGAGCAGACCAGTCCCTACAAGCAGCACTCGTTCACGAGTGTGACGGATGAGCCAGCCATCACTGCGCTCGACCATATTTTAGGGAGCCCAATGACCCGGCCCACCACGCCGCCACATGTCTGGACATTTTAGTGAGCATGACTACTCATTCCACTCGACCACGTCACAGCTACAAGCTTGCAAGCTTGCAAGCAAAGCTAAAGGAAAGGTGCACCCGCCTGCACTAACTGTTCACGCAGGCGGGTTACGGCGGCGGTACTTATCACGATGGTTTCCAGGAGAAACCTCCGTGGAGGTCACTTCTGACATACATTGCTAGCAATGGCTTCCTCAATCCACATTACTAACAATCCCATTACCCCTGAATATACCCCCTAATAATATTATGAAAGATGTAATTATGTATTTATATGTAAATAGATGGTTGATTATCAAATAAATAATGACAAAAAGACAAATATTGAACACCATAGAAAATAGACGAGGAAAAATGTTAGGGCACTTGATACGGCACGATGATTTCATGAAAATTATTATTGAGGGGAAAATAGAAGGAAAGAGGGGGAGGGGAAGACCAAGGAATAGCTACATCAAACAAATTGAGGACAAAATGGGAGTCGTGTCGTATCAAGAATTAAAGAGCATGATGGAAGATCGCGGAAAGTGGCAAGAGCTCCACCGACAAGAGCGTAGCTCTTAAATTATGAATGAATGAATGAATGATGTAAGAAACTATAGCGATATTAGATTTATAACCTGTAAGCCATAGTATTTATAATAATGAATCATTTCTCTTCAGAAACAAAATGGAAAAGCGAAAATCATTTTCAAACCTGTCAAATCCCCACGACCACATTAATATGAAACGTCAAAAGTTATTCTCCCAGATTTCCACTTCTACTGATGCCTTTCTTACAACGTAAGGTTGTAAAAAGGCGTTTAGAATTTAGAACATACTCCTTTTTCTACTTAGAAAAAGGAGTATGTTGTAAATTGTAATGTTTTATTCTACTTTTTTCTGACTTCTCCTTCTTAGCTTCAGATTTTGATGAGTCTTTGTTGTTTGAAAGAAAATACGACGATGACAATTTACAACATACTCCTTTTTCTAGTATGTTGTAAATTGGAATGTTTTATTCTACCTTTTTCTGGCTTTTCTTTCTTATCTTCGGATTTTGATGAGTCTTTTTTGTTTGAACCTTTCAATATTACCTAACCTTTCGATGCCATAAAAGATATTTTTTTATCAAGATCTGTTATGAATAATAATGCATTTGAAGTGGTTTTGACACAACATTTTGTTGCCGTGTTAAGAGTTTTCTTATCGTATTTTCTTTCATATCGTTTTCCGTTTGAAAAACTAAATAAATCAGCCAACATCAGTATGTATTTCATTTGACCTTTTAACTAAATTTGTGTAACAAAACAGAATTCTCCACAAGAACCCAACTCAGCGGGGCGATGTAAATTTAACAAGCTCCACAGTTGAATGGCGTTATGTTTAATTGTACCTGAGTTTGTACAATAATGAAATAACCGCCATTATACCTGTGACCAAACTGTAAAATCGGGCGAGAACGTGTTCACGAATTTATGAATATACTAGCTGTGCCCGCGGTTTCAGTCGCGTGAAATTTCTAGCTTATATGTTATTCTGATGTAAAAGCTATATGACAGTAAAGTTATATATTTAGATTATATAAATATAAACACCTCTTTGGCCAGGGACATTGATGTCAAACACACGACCTTTTGGTTCTAGTATTACTTAGTACACAAGGAAAGCATTAGGCCACAACATTTCAAATTCTTCTTTGATTTTATTCTACAACTATCTTTTGTCCCGCGGCTTCGCTCGCGTTATATTATTATTGAATCCCCTTAGGGGCGGAATTTAACAAAATCCCCTCTTAGGGGATGCCTACGTCATAGTAGCTTTATGCATGCAAAGTCTCAGCCCGATCGGTTTAAAATTGACAAAGTTTCATACAAACTTTCATCCCCTATTTTATCCCCTTGGGGGTTAAATTAATCAAAATCCTTTCTTAGCGGCTGCCTACGTCATAACATCGACCTGCATGCCAATTTCAGCCCGATCCGTCCAGTGGTCAACTCACAGCCAGTCGTTCAGTCCTTTGAGTTATATATATTTAGATATATAATAGATTTCACTTCTAAATCAAATAGTCGTTTTCAAAGTTAAATGTTAATATATCTGAATTATATCCCAAGGTTTAGAAGTTAAGTGTTAAGATACACTTAACTTCTAAAACATGCCACATAATTCTTAAACCAAAGGGATAGGGCAGCTATTCCCGCAGAGAAATATTATTGCGCGAAAAAAACCTATTACAAAAGAATTCAAACAACATTTTTCTTGAGTAAATTACAAAATGTGAAGATGCTACTACATACACTGTGAACTTGCGCTCAATAAGAATAAACATTTTTACTTTCCATTTATTTATCGCATTTTATTCCATAGTAACATATATCTCACATTTATTGAGCAAAGCCTATTACTCACTAAACGATTACTTGAATGGCATGATAATAGTTGTTCATGCACGGGATTTTCATTTAATCTTAGATATAGACACCTACATAAATACACAACGTAAATAAACTTTTAGTTTCTTGCCAGTTCTTCTCAATTGGATCTGTATACTGAACTGTAGGAAGAAAAATGATAAAAAATTAACGATAAAATAGCGGATAAAACAGAGAAAAAAACATCACACAATCCCGTACGTGAAAATCTCGTACAGATTTGTACCAGTTTGAAAATGCCTGTTAATTATAATGAGTTTATTTGAATAGAGATTAATTCTATTTTCTATTTCAAACAAACACCTGCACCTAACAAATTAGAACAGAGAAAAAATTTTCACACAATCTCGTACAGAATTGTACCAGTTAGAAAATTATACTAAGTTTATTTGAATAAAGATTAATTCTATTTTCTATTTCACACAAACACCTAACAAATTAGAACAGAGAAAAAAATATCACACAATCTCGTACGTGAAAATTTCGTACAGATTTGTACGAGTTTATGAATGTTTGTTAATTATAATGAGTTTATTTGAATAAAGATTAAATCTATTTTCTATTTCAAACAAACACCTTACAAATTAGAACAGAGAAAAAAATATCACACAATATCGTACGTGAAAATCTCGTACAGATTTGTACGGGGTTACAAGTGTTTGACATTAATTGTGTTAGTTTAGTAATAAGTGGTTTGTTGTGAATTATATTAGGGTTAATTAAATAAATATTTTTCTTTTCTATTTTCCATATTTGCTACAAGTGATTTGGCTCTTGTAAATTGTATTAAGATTATTTGAATAAATATTGCTCCTTTTCTTTTCTATTTGCTACAAATAAATTGTGCTGAGGTCTACAGTTTCAGTGGTCGTATCTCAGACCCTCGCTAAACTTTGCAACGGGGGACATAAACATGCTATATTTTTACCGCCCTGTCTCGCTCATTACAATAAAGACAATTTTCTCTTTAGTCCTTGTTATCGTACTTTTATTTCATGAGAAAGTATTGTCAGATATCTATATTATACAAATATTATAAAGAGGTTAAGTTTGTGTGTTTGTTTCTTTGGTGTTATAACCGGTTCTTCGGATCCGATTTTAAAAATTCTTTCACTGTTAGAAATGTGTGTTATCCCTGAGTGATTTGGGCTATATAACATCACGCTACGACCACTAGGAGCGGAGCAGCAATGAAAATGATGAGCGCTATCGCTGCGAGCGCTGCGTAAACGGTTAAAGTTATAAAAAAATATGTACAGAATTCTTCTACTTTAAAGGTTTTAAAACTATCTTTTATCTTATCTTTTTTACTATATATTATACATATTTTTTTTAATACTAATAAAAAAATGTATTATCTATAGAAAAGAACCAGACGGATATGGCAATAGACTATGAAAATAACTATAATATCCTTGTTGCAGTCACGTCACGCGAACTGCGAACTGGCTACCACCGGCGGAGAGCTGGCCCGTCAGCAGGGACGGTAGCGGCAGTGGCAGCGGGAGCCATGCTGACCAGGAGGATGAAGACCTGCCTTACGGGTGGGAGCAGGCGCTGGACAGCCGCGGGAAAGCTTACTACATCAAGTGAGTGCCATTACGTGATTAGATTACATTATTTGACGGGACTATGAAGACCTGCCTTACGGATGGGAGCAGGCGCTGGACAGCCGCGGGAAAGCTTACTACATCAAGTGAGTGCCATTACGTGATTAGATTACATTATTTGACGGGACTATGAAGACCTGCCTTACGGATGGGAGCAGGCGCTGGACAGCCGCGGGAAACCTTACTACATCAAGTGAGTGCCATTACGTGATTAGATTACATTATTTGATGGGACTATGAAGACCTGCCTTACGGGTGGGAGCAGGCGCTGGACAGCCGCGGGAAACCTTACTACATCAAGTGAGTGTTATTACTTGATTACATTATTTGATGGCGTCGGTGGTTCAGCAGTTTAGCACACGGCCTTACTTCCGATGGTCGCAGGTTCTTTTTTATGGATGATAATGGAATGGTACACCCGCCTGCGCTAACGGTTTACGCTGGTGCTGCACCGGTGGAAGTTAATAAGATGACCATGACATCTGTTAGCCCATCGTGACCAATTCACCAATTCACCATTTCTTATTGCTATAATGTACCATGTCAGGTGGACCTCCACGCGATTACTCCTATAAACCATCATGATAAATTCTTTGTGAATTGGGTCACGATGGGCAAACTGACCTGATCTCATGGTTACCTTATCATCTTCCACTAGGGTAAACCGTTAGAGCAGGCGGGTGCACCATTCCATTATCATCCATAAAAAATAACCTACGACCATCGGAAGTAAGGCCGTGCGCTAAACTGCTGAACCACCGACGCCATCAAATAACGTAATCAACTAATAACACTCACATTGATAACAATGGGGTTATAAGACCATATCACTAACAACCCCATTTCCTCGAAATACTTATTAAGTATTTATTTATCAAATTTATTTCTTGCTCTTAAAATATACCAAAAATTTGTTATAAAAATAATTGTCCTTAAAATTATTGGAAAAGAATATATTTAACCTACAGACAACCTTGTTTATTAATTCTGTGCTTAAGGCTGTATGTCCCCAACCGCTCTCCATACAAAATGTGCTGCTTAAAAATATATTTTATACTAACTGTGCCTGCGGTTTCACCCTCGTTAAAATCAATATAAAATATAGTCTATGTGTTATTCTGATGCATAAGCTATATTACTGTAAAGTTTCATCAAAATCCTTTCAGTAGTTTTTGCGTGAAAGAGTAACAAACATCCATACTTACAAACTTTCGCGTTTATAATATTATTAAGATTTTTCTGCAATAACTAATTAATAGATGAAACTTTGTTGCTAGGATAAAGCAAGTAACAACGTTTCATACTAGTCAGATTTTCTTCAAACAATTTTGTTTTGACAATTGTTTTTCTTTTCTTCTAACATTTCTTCTAACATATTTTCTTCAAACAAACAATTGTTTGAAGAAAATCACAATCACGTAAATTATCACCAAAAAAGGACCTATCTTTAGCTCATTTGTATGAACAATCCAAGACAGTATACAAATGTGAACAAATGTACAAAATATTGGAATTACAATAAATTTTCAAAATAACGAAACAAACAACTACATATTGAATGTAATAGCCGAGTAGACCAGGAGTTACTCGTAAATATTTACGGCAAAATTTCGATTAATAATACTGCAGTTGCACTTAGGTGAACTTCATGTTTAATTGATTATTATTAATTAAATATGATTATTTAATTAATTAATTAATAGAGTAAGCCGAGTAGAGCAGAAAGTAAATATTTCCGGTAAAATTTCAATAGAGAAAGTATTGCTGTCGCGTTTGGTTGAGAAACATGTAGGTTCTTTCTTCCTTAAATCGTTCATATAGGTTTCTTCAGTTATACCACAGATAATATAATATTACATAGTTATACGCAGTATTCTTGCGTCTCCCTCGCAAGGATACTGTATAACTACTGAAGAGTACCTACATTTTGTTGTATGAATTCACTCCTCTTAACAAACTATAGAACTTTACCGATTGAAACTCATTTGAGTAAAATATAAGTATTTACTTATATTTTTTTCAATAGATGTATTAACAGTATAAAAACATATTTATACCGCTGTAAGCGTTGTTTCTGAACTATTTTATATTTCAGAGAGATGTATGTGTTAAAAAAATATTTACGCAAACCCGCTATAAATGTAACGTAATAGTCAAGATATTCATTCATTTTATTTTCCTGTCAGTTTACCATTATTTTTACTGTATATAATAATCAGGACAATTCACACAGCGCCATCTAGTCTCAAGCTAAGCAGAACTTGTGATATGGATACCAGACAACTGCTAGATATACTAACATATATTTTTTTAATAACATACATAATATTCATATTAAATACAAACAGCCATACCTACTCATGAATACAAATATTTGTACCTTGCGAGTAATCAAACACGCGACCATCGCAACGGCGGATCCAGGGGGGGTCATGGGGGTCATAACCCCCTCCTGAGCTCAGAGAGTTAGGTGGACCACTAATTGAACATAATTATTTTATTTATATATTTTGTCACCATACAGATTTTACGTAACTACATACCTTCAATATTATGTAATTATATTTAAATAGTGCTTCTCTGGATCTGGTCTTCAAGAGAAGATGGAAATATGTACGTGTAAATGTACAAGTTATTATGTGTTAAATTTTTCAAGTGTACAATAAAAGGATAAATATTTTTAAGTACAGTACTTACGTACATTAATAAAATACCTACTTTTTACTTGTATCTATTAATCAAAATTAAATTATAAGTTCTTAACTTGACCGCGACTATATGACCCCCTCCTGGCGCCAAAGCTGGATCCGCCTTTAGACCATCGGTAGTAAAAGAAATGATTTTTTTTTGCAGAAAATAGATGATGGTAATATGTCCAAGTAATCATATTATTGACAACTGTTTAATTATCCCAATATATGGGTATTAATTTTTTTCTTTTTTTTATCTTCTTTTGGCAAGGATGCCATTTTAAAATAAATAAAGTGCTTTGCTAACCCTCTAGACTTTCAAGATCGTGAAGTTTTTATAAAACGTTACTTTAAAAAACAATTTTAAATAAAACTAAATAATAATAAAACCGTGGTCCACAGATAATATACTATAGTAGTATAGTAGTACATATATGTATATACATGTAACATATATGTATATCTGTATGTATATGTATATCTGTATGTATATGTCAAGAGACATCGTTCTAAATTAGACACAATTTGTACGGGACTCAGCTCCATTTGTTTAATGTAAGCATCTCCCAGTCACATGTGAAGTATGATATCTCATTTCGTTAAAATATGCCAAGGTTCTCATTATGAGAAGACACGGTCTGGTGACAAATTACTAACACGGCGCTACGAATATTACTGTATCATGTAAATAGCGCATCACGACGTTAATGATGAATACAATAGGACAGGATATGACAGGACAGGACAGGACCGAACAGGACAGGACTGAACTGAACTGAGCAGATCAAAACCGATCCGAACAGAACAGTAGATTTTTATTCAATTAAGTGTAGTATAAGCACTTTATAACAATTTTTTCTACCACTCTTGCTAATTCTTCTTTTGCAAGAAACGCAAGAAACTTGCGTGTAGATTACATATATAAAACTAGCTTTTACCCGCGGCTTCGCTCGCATAACTTCATTACTGGTTGCTAGATGGCGCTCAAGTAGCAAAATGTTGATATTTTATTTTTTTGTTTTTTATAAAAAATATTTGATTTTTTTTTAATAAAAAGTATCCTATGTTAATTTTAATACCTCCAAGAACATGTGTACAAAATTTAATGATGATCGGTTCAGTAGTTTTTGCGTGAAAGCGTAACAAACAATCCCACTTTCACATTTTTAATATAGTATTGATATATTCAACTTGTTTTTTTTTTTTTACATTTCAGCCATGTCAACAAAACAACAACATATGTGGCGCCCGAGGGTTGTTCGTGCGAATCACCCCCCGCACCCAGGGATGTGGTGCTGGAGCGAGACCCCGAACTGGGTTTCGGGTTCGTAGCGGGCTCCGAGAAACCGGTACTAGTTCGGTTTGTGACCGATAACTCACCCAGTGTAGGGAAGGTAAGATAATCTATACCAGTGTTTCCCAACCTTTTTAAGGCCATGTCCTACCTTAGCCTTTCTAAAATTCTTATATATGTATATATATATAAAATAAAACTCTTGTAATGGTTTTAACAATTCTTGCATTATTTTTTTTTAATGGGTGATATTGGAATGGTACACCCGCCTGCGCTAACGGTCGAAATTTGACCATTATTAATTTAAAATTCAGTAAAACCATAGACAAATAATATTAAAGACAACCAATATTAATCTATTCTCAATTTGACGACAAACTTTAACAAAAAACAAAAGAGTATATATGCGTGTGTATTTGTCAAATAAATGGTAATATTTTTTTCATAATTTAATGTATTTTTTATGCATTAATAAAAAAGATTAGCATTCTGCATTCGTTATAGTTTACCATATAAAGAGACCTATATATGGTAAACTATAAATGTGCGAATTTCCATACTCCTTCGTCCGAGCAATTTTCATAAAAGGTGTACAACTTTATTGCTTCACCTATTAATGTAATGATGTATGTATTTGACATACTTTAGTTTAGTCTTTGACAATAGAACCTTAATAATGTTCAAACTTATTATTTAAATAAATAGTAATATTATACTAACTAGTAATATTTAGTAATTTCGTGACACAAGGCCTCGATACATCAAGACTTTGTGTCTATGTCTGTATCTATATATATTAATAACCATAATATAATAGATATTAAGTCTTGATGTATCGAGGCCTTGTGTCACGAAATTACTAAATATTACTATATATCTATATAGAGTGATGGGGAGACCCTATATAAGGCGATGCCTTCTCGGCACCGACACGCCCCTCCGATCCCCCGTCCAATTCAAACGGGGATCGAAATTACGACGGCCTGAGCCGAGGTTCTAACCCCTAGCGGTGCCCTCAGAATAAGTCGTATACAGTATCGTAGATGACAGCAATATCTAGCAAGAATAAGTTTTTTAGCAGACAACGTTATAATTATTTTTCATACTGCTTTCTTGATATATGATAGCGTAGCGGCTTTTGTATTGATTGCCGCATGCATCCGCATGTAAAGTGCGAATACTGTAACTACCATATAGAAATTTTTGTAGCTGTGACGTGGTCGAGTGAAATGAGTAGTCATGCTCACTAAAATGTCCAGACATGTGGCGGCGTGGTGGGCCGGGTCATTGGACTCCCTAAAATATGGTCGAGCGCAGTGATTGATGGCTCATACGTCGTACTCGTGAACGAGTGCTGCTTGTAGTCTGCTCTTATCACTACGACTGGTTTAATCCTATTGTGTATTTATATTTAATCCTAATAAATTAGTCCTGGTTGGTAGTTTGTATTCACACGTTTTGGAATTGTCTAATGTGAACTTACAAGGATTATTTAAAAGTGCAACACTCAAGTTTCTTGCTCGTTCTTCTTGTGATGAGACATCATTCCGAATGAGCGGTAGATTAAAAAAAACATTGTTATGACTATTCAAAAGTGCTTAAATGAAGTTTATTTGAATAAATGATTTTCTATTCTATTCTTAATAAAAATCCTTGACACATTCCAGCTCGAGCCCGGGGACCAGATTCTCTGCGTTAACGGAGAAGACGTCAGCCTCGCTGCCCGGGAGTACGTCATATCAGCAGTCAGAGCTTGTACGGAACAAGTCACGCTACGAGTATGCCAGCCTGCCAGGAGTGGGAATCCTATGAGGAGATCTGCACTGCTGTCGGCAGCGAAGAGGGCCAGACTGCGAGCCAGGCCACCTAGAGTGAGATTCGCTGACTCCGTGCAGTTAAACGGCGCGCCTATGTACCCGGTAAGTTTTATTTATAATACTAGCTGCGCCTACGGTTTCACCTGCATGAAATTTATATCTATCTACTAGATGTACTCGCGATTTTGTTCGCGTGGAATTTAACAAAATTGTTAATTAGAGAATTTTTCGAAAGTAAAAGTAGCTTAAGTTACTCCTTATTACATTAGCTACCTATCAATAAAAGGCCCTACCAGCTGTACTCGCGACTTTGTTCGCGTGGAATTTAACAAAAAAGTTAATTACCTAGTAAATTTTCAAAAATAAAAGTAGCCTAAGTTACTCCTTATTACATCAGCTACCTATCAATAAAAGGCCTATCAAAATCGGTCCAGCCATTTCAGAGATTAGCCGGAATAAACAGACAGATGATAGATAGACAAAAATTGTAAAAAAATATATTTTGGTGCATGTACGTTATTTATATTCATATGCATGTAGTAAAAAACGATTATTTCAATATTACACACAGACACTCCAATTTTATATATATGTATAGATTTTGTATGAAAGAATAATAATTTTTGTTTAAGGCTTATTAATAAAAATAACAACCCTGTACATTCACACAGCGCCACCTAGTCCCAAGCTAAGCAGAATTTATGTTATTTATACTAAACACATACTAGGAAATTCTTAGATACATTTTTTTATTGTAAATACCTACATTATACGAGTACACATAGAAAACACCCATCATTCTCATGAATATAAATGTTTGCATCATCCAAGGAATCGAATCCGCGACCATCAGAATTAAGATGGTGTGTTAAACCACATCGTAACCCCCTCCGATCGATCCCCCGTCCAGTTCAAACGGGGATCGATATTACGACGGCCTGAGCCGAGGTTCGAACCTCTAGCGGTGCCCTCAGAATAAGTCGTATCCGTCAGGCGGGAGGTGGTCCTCAGCCGCTCCATAAGTCCTTCCGCGGGTTTGTAGTGCCATCTGCACTCGCCCCCTATCGTCCGGTGAAGCTGTAAAGGCCAGCTGCGGCTAACAGCATTAGAGTAGTACGAAAAAAAATGTATACAAACGTTTGGATTGTCCAATGAATCGAATCCCGGACCATCAGAAATAAGCGGTGTGCTAAAGCACTAGACCACAGGTTATGTTATTAAATATTATTAATCATATTTAAAAAATTACATTTTTAAATATAATTAATTATTATATTTAACAATGTATTTTTTTTGTAATTATTACATTTAATTAAAAAAATATATTAATTAATGTTATTACATAACCTGTGGTCTATTGTTTTAGCACACCGCTTAATTCTGATGGTCGGGGTCTTATTTATGGCAATTTTTGTTTGTGCTTTCAGCCATCAGCCTTCTCTCTCGGCGATCTCTGTTTGCCACCAATGGCGAATGTCCTGAAAGTTTTCCTCGAGAATGGACAGACGAAATCCTTCAAATACGATAGCACGACCACCGTCGCCGATGTCGTGACCAGCCTGAAGGATAAGCTGTGCATAACAGCTGAAGAACATTTTAGTTTGGTGGTGGAACATGTCAAGAGTTTAAAGAGGAATAAGCTAACCCTTTTGGACCCTAAGGAGTTTTTAGCGAGAGTAAGTATAATTCGTTTTCTAACTCTACGACCAGACGTCAATTAAGGCATATGTTATGGGAGAGTGTGGGGCCGACAAAAATGTGACATTGTGTGATCGAAGAATCATAATCTTCGACACCAGCCTTGCCTTTGTCCCATTATTTGGGGTCGGCGCAGTATGTCATGTTATCCGTAAATTACGTCACGCGTTAAGGGCGGAGTGTCAAAATGTGACATTGTATGACAAGGGATTGAAGAATCATAATCTTCAACACCAGCCTTGCCTTTGTCCCAGTATTTGGGGTCGGCGCAGTATGTTATCTTATCCGTAAATTACGTCACGTGTTAAGGGTGGGGTGACAAAATGTGACATTGTGTAACAAGGGATTGAAGGAGTCATAATCTTCGACACCAGCCTTGCCTTTATCCCATTATTCGAGGTCGGCGCAGTATGTCATCTTATCCGTAAATTACGTCACGCGTTAAGGGTGGAGTGACAAAATGTGACATTGTGTGACAAGGGATTGAAGAATCATAATCTTCGACACCAGCCTTGCCTTTGTCCCATTATTTGGGGTCGGCGCAGTATGTTATCTTATCCGTAAATTACGTCACGCGTTAAGGGTGGAGTGACAAAATGTGACATTGTATGACAAGGGATTGAAGAATCATAATCTTCGTCACCAGCCTTGCCTTTATCCCATTATTTGGGGTCGGCGCAGTATGTCATCTTTACTGATTCCTCTCAGCCCTCATATCTTCTTTTATTCATATCATCTTTCACAGATGAATTCATCCATCCTTTTTTAGGTCGTCCTCTCCCTTTTCATCCACGTTCATGTTAAATACTTAGTCCTCGCTCCGCCACATAACATACCCACACCGAGTCAATCTGTTACCTCGCAAATGGTCTATAACTGAAGTCATAATCTTCCTGAAAAAAAATTATCTAGAACCTTCCACCCTCTTAGAGGAAGATTTTTTTCATAGTCCCTATTACGTTATGACCAGTTGTGCCAGGAGGGGTATAAACGTGTGGCTACATTTGTAATATTTCTGTCACTCGGCACCCTTCCATTAGTTTACGCCTCCACATAACATACATTTAAGTTTAATGTAAATTTAATTACTAAATTGTTCAAAACATGTCCAATTGCAGATCGCCGCTCGGCCTGGCTCCCACAAAATGCGATGCCTATTCCGTATCGTATTCATGCCCACATCGGCAGCAGAACTGGCACAAAGAGATCTAGCGGCTCTCGACTACCTCTACCTGCAATGCTGCAATGATGTGGCTCAGGAGAGGTTTGCTCCTGAGCTGCAGCCGGATATAGCTTTGAGATTAGCAGCGTTACATATGCATCAACATGCTTTAGCTAACAACGTGTCTCCCGCCAAACTCACTGTCAAGGCTGTTGAGTGAGTATGCTTCAATTTTAAATGTTTATTTAATTAGTTTTATTAGTTGAAGGGTTTATTTATGTAGTTTAATTAATAAATTGTTTATTTTAATTGTTGCGGGTGAATAATAAGATGTTGCTGGTCGAGACGATGTATTGTACAGATGATGATAAACTGACAATGTGTACATAAAAATAATTATCTTATATACTAAATAAAAGTAGGAAAATGTAAGGTGGGGTGACACAATTTAGATACAGCAGTGCCTAGTAGACAATATTGAATTTGTCTTACATTATTAAATGCAATTATTATTTTATGTATCTAGGTGACTGTGTCCCATAGATATTCCCCCCTTGAGAGAAAAAAAAATATATATTTTTTTTTTTTTACAAATTAAATCTCACTGTAGGATAAGATGTGCGTCCATAACGTGTCACTTTCAAAGGTCGGCTGTCAGCTGTTGACGAGCGGTGTCCTGTTTCTGCCTCGCCAGCAATTGCTTCGTTGTTTATTATGACACCCGCAACATTAATCATTAAATAGGTTTTAATTAATTTAATTATTTTGTTTATTTAATTGAACGGTTTATTAAACTGCGTTTAATTAATTTCATGGTTTATTTAATTAAAGTAACTAAAAAAAGGGTTCACGTAATTAATCTAATTAATTAATGTGTTCATTTAATTAGTTTATTATTTTAATAGTTTATTTAATTAATTTAGTTTATCTATTGGTTTACGAATATGATTAATATCCGTTGTCCGAAACACATTTTTACGTTTTTTATGTAAGAAATATGAATGTGTGTATTTCTATATAGCTAGTTAGAAATGATGGCCACCTTCAGAAATTAGGTAATTCCATCAATGGAAAGAAAACAAAACAAAATCCGTTGACGGCAATAGTCTTTCTGTCATGTTGGATTCAAATATACTTAACGAAATTTGAATTGACTACCCTTACTGAATGACATCTGTGTACCTCATCTGGGTCGTGTGGTAACTGTCGTGTGGGGAGTATTATATAATGAAACTCGTTTAATTATAAAATTAATCATTAAAATCATTTAATTCGTTGATTCGTTATTTTTTTATATAACTGGCAATGAAAACAATAATATGACACATCTTCTTATACGCTAGGCTCGTATCGTCGTGCGTCAGTGGATGATAGGGGGCGAGTGCAGATGGCACTCCAAACCCGCGGAAGGACTTATGGAGCGGCTGAAGGCCAACTCCTGGCTAACGGATACGAGTTTAGTCTGAGGGCACCGCTAGGGGTTTGACTCAGGCCGTCGTAATTTCGATCCCCGTTTAAATTGAATGGGGGATCTAACGGAGGGGAAACAGAGAACGAACGGAGGAGGGACGGGGGATCGATCGGAGGGGAACAATACTTCAGTCTCTGAATTGAAATGTTCGTAATTACAGAAGGGAGTTTGGTTTGGAACGGTTTGTGCCCAGTGGATTATTGGAGAGCATGAAACGCAAGGAATTGCGGCGACTGATCGCACACTTCCTGAAACTGAACTCGCAAATGACTGGCAGTCAACGGCAATTGACTCAACTGCAGGTATAGTAAAATTGAACATGCAATCTTTGTGTGTAATATATATCTTATATATAAAATTCTCGTGTCACAGTTTTCGTTCCCATACTCCTCCGAAACCTCTTGACCGATTCTCATGAAATTTTGTGAGCGTATTGAGTAGGTCTGAGAATCGGCCAACATCTATTTTTCATCTCCCTAAACGTTAGGGGTAGTCCACCCCTAATTTTTTGTTATTTTAAGACAACAACGATGCCGGGACTTCGTCGGCGTGGAATTTAACTTAAATAAAATTAGCCTAAGTTGCCCCTTATTACATCAGCTACCTGCCAAAATAAGTCCCGTCAAAATCGGTCCAGTCATTTCAGAGATTAGCCGGAACAATCAGACCGACAGACTGACAGACAAAAATTATAAAAAATGTTATTTTGGTATATGCACCGTAAATATTCATATGCATGTAGTAAAAAACGGTTATTTCAATATTACAAAAAGACACTCCAATTTTATTTATATGTATAGATATTAAACGTCTGCAGATTTTATCTGGTCTTGGTTGGTAAGGACGGTAGCAAATATTATTAAAGTTATTTTCAAGATTATAAAAAACTAAACTGCCAGTGATACCAGTTATATTTTGCCATTCCTGTAGTCTCTTCTTAGTCTTTCATTCCCTTTTGTTACAATACCATCTCACCAAACCACAAATATAAACCACAAGAATAGATACCCAAGCTGATGAAGAAGACCCAAGAAATTGTTCAAAGTCTATCGCAAATTTAAATTCAAAATATCTTTATTCATGTAGGTCTATTACAGACTATGATGAATTATATGTCAAATCTACCATCAGTTCGGAATGATTTCGAGATGAGAAGAACTGACAAGAAACTCAGCTCGTATTCTTTTCAAACAAATGTTGTACATGTTTACAATAATACAGATTCATTTAAATTCAAATCTGGAACTGAGTGACCACCAGCATATGCTATTGCAAAAGCAAAAAGTCTAATCAGTGTTCGTAATCTGAACAGACCAGGTAAGGTATCTTATATATTATCGGTATAATTTCTTATTTATTTATCTTTTCATTTGTGATACTTGTAGGCGAAACTCCACTACTTGGACATAGTGGCTGGCCTGCCGAGTTATGGCGCAAAATGCTTCAGCAGCACTCGACCTGAGCGGGTGCTCCTCGTATCGCCGCGCTTTGGCCTCAGCCAGATCGTTGGCAGAAGCAACTCTGTGGTAAGTCTCATTTTGTTATCATATTCACATCCGACAAAATAATGGAAAATAATAGCTGGGAACCAATTTATTTTAAGGCGAATTTTGATTAAGTATATACGAATATTTAAAAATATGGATAATAATGAAGAATCCGGTTGCTTACTGACTAGTAAAGTAAAATAGTAAGTAATTGTAAGTAGTAAAATATCATTTTTATAATATTACAGAATATATGACTCAAAATGTAATTATATGTAAACTTTATTATGACGTGTTATTAAAATGTTACAGCCCCAATCAATCGCCTCTTTGGAAGAAGTGGAGGGCATTAGAGTAAAGCCGGAAGGTTCTGGAAGCTCCGATGTTGCAATATTCTTAAAAAGAGACCGGGTCCTGGCGCTGCTTATGGACGAGAGAGACGCAGCTGAGATGCCTTTAGTGATTGCCGGGTAATTATTTATCTTATTGCTAAAAGCATCGACACATAGGGGCCGTCCAAGTATTACGTAAGCAGATTTTTACGTAAGCAGATTTTTACGTAAGCAGATTTATACATATAATAATTTACAATTATTCAACCCCCCATCCCCCTTAGCAAAAGTAAGCAAAGCACTTACCCCCACCCCCCGTGATTACGTAAACATTTTTCAATTGATTTATTGTTTTTTAAACAAAGACAATGTGAGCCATTCGTTAAAAGTAAATAACTACCGATGACGTAATCGTCATCTAGACTCCCCATGTCATCTAAAATAAGCAAAGCAGAGACCCCTCTCCCCCCCTCCCCCTTCCTCTCCCCCTCCCCCTCCCCCCTATAGTGCTTACATAATACTTGAACGGCCCCATAGTTAATTTGTACCCTAAATCATGCCTAAGATATAATGAGTTCATATCTGACTGATAAAAAAAATGTGTGAGTTCATTTTTCCTCGCATTTCACAAAGATTAGCCGAGAACAAACAGACCGACAGACAGACAGACAAAAATTATAAAAGTTGTTATTTTGGTATATGTACCATATACATATATATTCATATGCATGTAGTAAAAAACGTTTATTTCAATATTACAAACAGACACTCCAATTTTATTTATATGTATAGATTAATGAAATGCTTGTAATATTCTTGCTATTTTGGGAAACGTTTTTTATTATTTTATTTACGCTTGCAGATATAAAAAAATAATGTGTAATTTATTCTTCCAAATATTACCGAACTGGCGACTATGACAACGAACTATATGTAGAGCAGGTTCCGAGAACCTATAACCGAAGATATAGGTATGTAGTAATAATTTATTTCTTACACAATATTTGCTTTTATATTTAAAACTAGCCGTTCCCGCGACTTCGTCCGCGTGGAAGTTAACATTATTTTTCGAAAATAAAAGTAGCCTAAGTTACTCCTTATTACATCAGCTACCTGCCAAAAAAAGTCCAGTCAAAATCCGATCCAGCCATTTCAGAGATTAGCCGGAACAAACAGACCGACAGACAGACAGACAAAAATTGTAAAAAATGTTATTTTGGTATATGTACCGTATTTATATTCATATGCATGTATTTATATACATAGTAATATTCTTGCTATTTTGCATGTAGATATAAAAAAATCTTCCAGGTGACAAGACAATGTAGAGCTCCGAAGATTTTATTTTTATATGTAATATTTGATATTTAAAACTAGCTGTTAATGTTCATATTTTTCGAATGTAAAGTTACTCTTTATTACATCAGCTATCTGCCAAAAAAAGTCCAGTCAAAATCGATCACATCCACATGTGTGATCACGTGACCTGTCACGTGACTGTCACGTGATCTTGATTTTCAGCCATGAAAACATTTGTGCTAATATGTTTTCTTTCTATCTCTGTATATCTCCATCCCAAATACAGATTAGGGATGGAGATATACAGAGAATTCGTTATGAATATGCTGAATTTTCTAATGATCGGTGGAAGCAGTGTAGGCGTAAAATAGCTTCTGAGTTTTTTATCCATTTAATTATTTTGACGTTTCAAGTTATATTTTTTCATATGGTTCGAAAGTATGAACACACAAGTAGAGCCTAATATCAATATAATAATAATAATAATCTCAGGACACAGCGTCATCGAGACCCAAATTAAACTAGCTAAAGCTTGTGTTATGGGTACTAGACAACTGATATAAATACATAGATATATTTTTCTCGTAAATACATACATATTATACATAGAACACACCTAAACCGACACAAACAATCATATTAATGCATACAAATGTTTTTGATGTGCGAGGAATCGAACCCGCGACCAGTGGAAGTAAGGCGGTGTCTTAAACCGCTAGACAACTGAGGCCGTATATAATATAAAACAATATTTTCTCATTTGTTTTTCAGCTCCGCCGTACTTATCGCAACACAACGTCGTACCAACCAAATGGAGCTACCTGAACTGTGACGATCCAAATGTTCTCTCCAAAAAACATTATGCGATCTTCAGTATGCCTCCACCGTACCATTCCACGCCGGACCAGTCTAAATCCAGCTTAGACACCAACATGAACTCCAGTATTACTAATAGAAATCACAGCAATAGCTCCAGTCCATTAATCGGCTACGATTCCAAATCTGGATTACTTGGACATGATATGCATTTGGATAAATGTAAGAGAAACGAGGAATTTAGATTATTCGATCCAAATGATGCTTGTTATTTGGATGATGGCATGGGTTTTGATCTTCAAAGTGTTCTGTCTATGGAACTCTTAGAGAATGCGAGCAATAACCCTAGATTAATGGAAGCTAAGAACGAAGAAGTGTTAAGAAGGGTGGCAGAAATGCAAAAGTTAGTAGAAAATTCTGAACAATATTTGACTGAAAATTGTGATGTTTATAATGATGATATGTACAATGGTGGTGTATTAAGAGATGAGTTTTTAGGTAAAGAATCCAGTGTAGATCAATTAGAAAGTGATACTGAATCGAATAATAGTAGAATGTCGGCAACCGATGATGCTCCTGGTATTTTGAAACACAGTGATTCATTATTACTTTTAACAGAAACCATAAATCAAGGACTAAGTGGTTTAAACGTACCAGAAAATGTGAAAGACAATAATGTTACTGGGTTAACGACAAGACAATCTCAAGGGCTCAGTGCTATACTAAATAACTGTGGGTTAACCGACGCTTTATTAGCTTTAAACAATGATGTTTGTCATTCAGAAAGTGATAACGATTCATTGTATACTCCTACAAGTAGTCCTATTAGAAGACACCAAAATAAGCCTACTAATAAAGTAGTTAGAACTAGTTTCGGTTTACATAGTCCAGATGCAATACCAGACAATAAAGAACCAAATTTAAAAGAATACTTAAAACAGCTTCGAGAAAAGAGTAGTCAAGAAGATGCAAGAGCTACTGAATTTCCATTTTATTGCCAAGAAAGTATGGTTGATAATGACGCCGAGCTTATAGATTTAACATTGATACCTCCTCCACAAACCCCTGATGAACTAGACTGTGCTACGCAAGTGCCTCAAATTTTACCAGTCGTTCCACCTTCATTTGCTGATGACAAGGAACATATACAAGAAAATAATGCACCAAAAGCTAGCGAACTTGAAGAATTTATAGCCAATGTTACAATACAACCACCTACAGTAAAAGTAACGCCAGCAATAGAACTCACTCCTGAAGAAATTCTGTCGTATATTATTCCACCCCCACCTGGATCTAATTCATCAACTCTTGATAGAGAACAAGTTAGATATGTCAATCATAGCCAAATACTGGAAACAAAAAATGGGCAAAACGTGCATAATGCAAAGCCGACAAATGGTGAAGTAGTAAAGGGAACACTTAGTGTAAGTGAAATTAGAAATATGTTTGCAGCAAAAAGCTTAAGTGATGCACGAAATAGTCTTTTATTGAAAGATAAAAGTAAACCACAAGTTCCTATTAAATCCGATTCGCCAAAGGGTAAAAGAAAAAGTATTAGTGGAGACAAACAGTCTAATGGTAGCGCTCATGTCATAGAGTATCCTACTGTTGAGAGGAAGGGCATGTTCTCGTGTTGCAGTAAAGATAAAAACAAAAGCGATGACAATAGCGATGAAACTGAAAAAGTTGACAGCCAAATGCAGAACTCAGATTCGATGCCTGATGTTTGCGAAATAAGACCACCGCCGAGAAGAAAAGGATCTGATACAAGAAAACCACCCGAAAGACCACCAAAAACACCGCCGACTCCAGCCCCGCGACCCAGGTCTAACTCATTCACTTGTCTTAACAACGAGCTCACAGTTGTCGAAATACCTAATAGTCATTTTAGTACATTGAATAATAGGAAATTGAATTACAAAGTTGTCTGTGAAATCAACGAGCAGAACATGCAAAATCCACCACAGTTACCTCCACGATTAGAGAACAAAGTCTTATCACCTCCCCCGCCGTTATTACTACCTCCCAAAAAGCCACCGCTACCTCCTGTACCGAGTATTGAAGTATTACGGATAAAAAACGCACAGAAACTGTCGCCTATAAGACATCCAGAACAACGTCTGGCTAGTATAGGCTCGCCACACTTCCAGCGTAATCTGAACACGTATAAAAACCTCGAAAATGAGAGCAGAGCATCCGACGACGAGTGTTTAAACGTGAGGTCATCGCAAAATTACAGTTCGATGACGCTGCAAAGTCGGCATGTCCGTTCGAATTCCGAAACGAAGAGCACAATATTGAAGAACAAGGAAATATCAACGGCGCTAACTCTATGTTCGCCACAAATGAATAGACGGTTTAGTAACCGTCCCGATCTATTAAATGGTGCTCCTGGGAATGACTCTAAAATGTTTAGTCCTCCGTTATCGGAGCGTAAGTTTCGGAGAGATAGTGCTAGTCCTACGCAGAAAGTTCAAAACCACGTGAGGTTTAAAGAGGACGTCGTGGATGATATTCCGACTCCCCCTTCCCCGCCAACGGTGAAGTTTCCAGAGTTTCAGGCGGGGAACAATGGCCACGTGTCGATTGAGAATCTGCTGTGCAAAACTGAAGTAGCTGTAGATGGACTCTTGCAAAGACTGCACCAGGTTGCGCAAAAGTGTTCTCATCAACACGCGCACGGTGGAGGGGAGGATATTGATGAAATTAAATTCCAGGTGAGTTAATAATACTATTTGAATTGTTCATTTAATTCAACTTATTTATTTATTTAAAACTTTATTGATTTTGTACAATAGGCGGGCTTAATGCTAATAGCATTCTCTACCAGCCAACCTTAGGGAGTGCAGAGATACTCGAAGGCGGTTTAGTTTTAATAAATTAAATGTAATTATATTAAATATATATAATATCATACATGTACGTGATAATATACTACATACAAACAAATTATGAGTATACATACATATTTATAATTAATAAAATTATTTAAATTTAATAAGGATAATTCAATCAGCGATCTTGCAATATTTTAATTCTCTATAATCTATGGGTCTTACAAATTCTTCTAAGTGTATACTCCTGCTCATGTCCATAAACGACAGCTACTAATCCCATTTGATGGGGAATTTCTTTGCCTTTTTAATATGTAATGTTTTGGCAAAATTGTCAAGATTTTCTTCTTGGAAAGCTTGGTTGTTGTTGTTTATATACATGAACAGCGTTACAGACCTCTTACGTTCCGTACCTCGTAGTTTAACGTTCCACTCCAAGTTTGTATATTGATATGCAACAGTTCTAGAAAATTTTAGTCTAAAAACAATATTTGGAAGTCATTAGTTACTATTGTTGCCAAAAATGTAATTGCAATGTTTTGCGGTGTACCAGCGCGCGCGTAGCGAGCTGACGTCGTGCGCAGTATCACTGGTGGGAGCGTCGCGAGCCCTCGTCGGAGCGCTGGGGGCACAGCCCCCTACAGCCTCTGGTCCTCCCAGCGTGGCCGCCCCCGCCGCTCTTGCAGACTGTCTCACGCCTCTCAGGAGGCTTGCCGACCTTTCACAGGTACGGTAAATACAGTTAATAAGGTATAGAAAGCATTTACACTTCTATCTTGCAAATTTAGAAATGTATATTATCCCTATAATTGAAGTAGCCCGTCGACTCTCCCTACAAAAAGGAATATGCAGCTACTTTCTTGCTCTAAAGGTCAAATACAAATAAAATTATTTATTTTATACATTTTTGTTTGAAGTAATATTATTTTTGATCATGTCAGTTTTTTGGTAAAACGGAACGCAATTGTATGCTGACAGACATCAGTGACTGATTTCTGTATCTTATCTGTGGGGAATGTATAATAAACTCCTCCTCTGTTAGATCTGAATTCATAATAATGTTAGGTTTATTCCAAGTCACGCTTCGCCCGAGTTTTAACAGATTTTTTGTAATAAGACCGTTAAAGTTTAAAAACAATATAATCTGGTACTTAATCAATAGTAACACTTGAAATAAAAATATATGTTTTAAATTTCAGGCACTAGGTAGACACACTTCTGCACCGCTTCAAACGAGAAACCTCGTGCTTCGAGTGCATGATGTCACAGCAGCGTTCAAGGAGCTAGCTGGCGCCGAAATGGCACAAATCATCCATGAACATAACCTAAAAAAAGCCCACAACCAAGACCAAGACACCAACTCAACTCTCGACGGCCAACTCGCTCTCAGAGCGGAATGTTTAGCAAATGTATTAGCTACCTTGCTCAGGAGTTTACGTGTATTTTCGCCGTAATTTATTTACGCGCCAAATTTATCGGGTATAGACAAAAGTATATATAATCTGTGCAAAGATGGCTGCTCATAACCATAGGGTAATTATTATTTTCTAATCTACGTTGTCGGGCTATATACATCCATAAATATAGATAAAAATATATTTTGTTCATTTGTTAATTACTTAGGAATTTCTGTTGAAATATAACCGTTACTAAAATGAGACCAAATAAAATTAGGTACGTTTGTGTATAATAGTTGGCTACGCAATGTGTTAATTTTAGTTGTAGTTTTGTAAATTTTAATGCGAGTTAATGTTTACATCTGTTGTATACAATTTTGTAGCGTTATTTTTACTCTACGGATTCTAGGACCGCGTAACTTGAGCCACAGACTTATAAATATCTACTAACTACAATAAAAAATAATCTGCGCATTATAAAAATATTCTTTTATGATGTTTTTTTTTAGTAAAGAACTAAAACCATTACACAAATATTGTTTTACAGTTATATAACAACCATAAAGCAAATTTATATATTTTTTAATTTGGTAAAAAGTTTATTTTTATAATTTATTTCACCCATATTACGTATTGTGGTAAAATGTGTAAAATAATGCGAAACTAAATTATAAAGCGTGCTGTGGCTCTAGTTATAAATGTATATCTAAAAAAGCTGGTACCTATTCTGTGAAAAAAAAGTTATTTAGTCTATTAGAGGTTTCATTAAACTATTTTATCTGTTCTTGCTTTATTCCGTAGGCAAAGCGTTACCATAGAGTATAATTAATTTTATCACATATCTATTTACACGAGAATTTTACTGTATATTATTATTATTAAGAATGTGTGATCAGAAATAGGGTGCAATATTCAATATTAAAAGTAACCATATCAAAACGATTCACCAATCATATCTCTCGTGTTTAAAAACACAATTTTCGAATCAAAACATTGCAAGCTATATACATTTTCAAAATGCCGCGCAAAATGTTTAATAATGTGTTGGCAGTTTGTTTTTTCTACTAAAATGTTGCCAGCTGTCGTTTTTTGGTACACGCGATGTGCTAATATTAAAATATTGGTGCTATTTTGGAGAAGTGTACGTTTTTTGTATTGTGATCGGTTTAAAAATACCCTGTAACTATTATTTAGATGATATCTGTATCATATGATGTCATAATGCACCAGTGATTTGATTTTTATGTAATATATAAAATAAGGTTGTTTTTGCAATGCAATAATTTAAAATTAAAATCACTACTGCTAATGTTTCATAAAGTATTACGTGTTATTTAAATTTTCTCGCCTGCTGAGTACAATTTTTATTTTTTTCACTGCACTAATTCCAAAGTTTCTGTACCTACAGTAACCAAAGAGATGAGAATTTTTTATTTTGTTTTTATTTACTCAATATTTCATGTTGTCTTTGGCTTTATATTCATACATATAATAATTATTTATATTCCGAAGTATTATAATTAATACTTTAATTATATTATTCATCATGTTACGCAGATACACAGGAATTTTATAATAATTTAAAACAGATTAGCTTCGATGTTCGAGAGTTACTTGAAATAAACAAAATAAAGAGCAAAATAGCAATAAATAGCAATTTTCTTCTTTTTTACTAATTAATTATTAACTAAGCAACGTCGGCTACAATTTCAGGCGATATTTTGCTAAAATAGCAATCAATCTTTTAGATTTAAAATTATTTTTAGTAATGGCAACTGTATAAAACGTATCCAACGTGTATCGTGCATTAACATGTACCAACATTGTAATAAAAATTAAACATAGAATTATATACATATATACAAATAATATTGTATCATCCCAGTTTATTTATTGTTCAAAATAACATAATGCAATGCATTTGATGTAATAAAAATCTTATAAAATATTATAATTATTTTATTAAAGTGCTCTCTATATATCTCTTTGAAAAAGGGCGAGCACAATAGACCTATGTAGGTCGCAGTGCTACAGGTGCTACAAACATCTGGCAATAGCCTACATAACCCAATAGAAAAATACATGCACCGATGCAATTGTTGTCGATATATATAGCTCTATTTTTTTTTATATATCATCCTTGTTAATAGCTGAAAGATAATAGAATTGTTAAAATCAGTTTCTTAGTGGACTTATTCTTACTTATTTTTTAATATTTTAATATTTTCTATTACTAAATAAAAAACCCTGGACAATTAACACAGCGCCATCTAGACACACGGTAAGCAGAGCTTGTGTTGTGGGTACTAGATAACTGATATAAATACTTAGATATTTTTTTGTAAATACATACATAATATACATAGAAAATACCCAGATCGATATAAATAATCATACTCATGCATATAAATGCTTGTACCACGCGAGGAATCGAAGCCGCGACCATCGGGAGAAAAGCGGTGTCCTATACCACTAGACCACCGAGGGCATGTCAAGTGTTGCATTCACCACAACATCGACAGGAGCAACTCTCTCTTGGATTATTTTCGGCTTCATATCAGTATTTCGTTCACCGTTTTTTTATAGCATAGGGGACAAACGAGCTAGCGGCTCACCTGCTGGTAAGTATTACCACATTATTTATATTAGGCAAGTGCGTTGTAGGCCTTTTAAAAATAAGCTCTATCCTTGAAGGTTACAATATCGTATCATTTCGGAAATTCAGTTAAAAACATAACTTGATAAAAAGTTTTTGATTTGAACTTACGACCTCTTGGGTGTGATTCAGGGTAGTTAACAACTAAGCTATAACGGTCTGTTGTACTTATATGTAAGTTATATAAGAAGAATACTGGAATATGTTTGTCATACGACTGTACCGCAGTGTAATTTTCACACGATACGTTTCAACCGGTTCCGATGACTATTTATTCTGGTGTATGTAAGAAGGAACCTTCAGGTTCCGTATGTTATTTTAATATTATAAATGCGAGAGTTTGTGAGTATGGATGGATGTTTGGTAATCTTTCACGCAAATACTACTAAATGGATTTTAATGAAATTATATAGTAATATATCCTTATGCGTAGTAATATCCTCTGAACCACACGATACAGACTTGCATGTCTAGTGTGTGGTTCACCGTAATGTGTATTGAATGTAAAAGTGTTTTATTGGCCAGTAAAGTTTATTACTATTATTATTATTCTTTATTTTTTCTCAGCTATTGCTGGTTTTCTCCACACTTACGGGCCGAAACCAAGTAAGTGCAGAGTGTGTGTGTGTATGTGTGTGTGCGCGTGTGTGTATGTGTGAGTGTGTGTGTACTTATTGTGTGCCTGGTGTGACTGGTGTTATATCATTTTCATCGATTTCGAGAAATTTTCGGACTGTACGACAAGTATTTAAGATGGCAGTTTTTTGAAGGGTGATGTAAAGTGTTTTTTGTATATCTAATTGTTTCAGGCTATGATGTAGGTGTTTGGGTATGATACCTGTAGATGAGAGGACTATGGGTATTATATAAACTTTTTCCTGTTTCCAAATTCTTGTTACTTCTTCCTTTAGCTCTGCATATTTGTTTATTTTTTCAGCAATTGTCTTCTGGAGATTGTGGGTATTAGGAACTGCAATATCTATGAGGTAGGTTTTTTTATTTACTTTATCTTGTAGTATTATGTCTGGTCTGTTGTAATGAATAGTCTTATCAGTAAGTATAGCACGATCGTAATATAGTTTATGAGATGTATTTTCTAACAGGGTTTCTGGTGTATATTTGTAGTACGGGGTTTTTGTATCTTGTATTAATTTGTATTTAGTATTATTATTATTATTATTATTATTATCTTGTACATCAAAATAATACAGGCTATAAATTTCACGAGGATGTAAACGCGGGCAGAGCTAGTTCTATCTAAATCTAATAAATTTAATTAATACAATAAGGAGGGGAAAGTTATTTTACTAATACTAATATTATTAACGTAAGTTTCTGAGTACGGATGGATCTTTGTTACTTTTTCACGCAAAAAACTACAGAATGCATTTTAATGAAACTTTACAGGTAATATAGTTTATACCTCAGAATAACAGGCTATATTCACGCGCCATCAAAATCTAGTAAATTTAATTAATACTATAACGAAGGGAAAGTTGTTGTACTAATATTAATAACGTGAATTTCTGAGTATGGATGGATGTTTGTTACTCTTTCACGCAAAAACTACTGAACGGATTTTAATTAAACTACAGTAATATAGCTTTAACATCAGAATAACAACACATTAGCTATAATTTAAAAAGATATTATGTAAATTGAGCGGATTATAATGATAAATTTAATACAAGTAAGTGACATGCAGACGAATAGAACCTCCTTTTTTGAAGTCGGTTAAAAATACAATATTATTAACATTGCAGTAATATTTTGGAAGTATGTCACTCCTTAATAGCTGAATGGACTTTATAATGATATATTAGATAGTATTTTACTATACAGATAGTAATTTTCTTATAGTGATGCCGGCTCGAAGGACCAATAACTACAGTTAAACTTTTAATACTAAATTACAAAAATGACAGTGAAAGTAACCATACACGACAACATCTAAATTACCTTTAAAGTATAATAAATACTTATAAATAAACTGACAATATCTAATCTTATCTTTAATAAGGAAAATACGAATAAAATGAAATGCTTATGACAACGATATATAATATAAATAAAAAGAACTTGATGGTTTACTAAAAATACAAAAGGAACTCCAAACAACTAGTTTCAATTACTATAGGTACCTGACCATGTACAAAAAGATGATTGGACCTAGACTATAACGCTCGGTCACACTTAAAGATATAATATATTATAATATGAGCGATTTTTCATGAGCTAAAAAGTATCTTATATTCGTTTTATAGATACAGTCTATCTTAACGTTCATATATTATTAAAATCAGTTCAGCAGATTAGTTCCGATCATTTCATATCATACAATTTTCACTTCACACATGTCATATCACAAATGTTTCAATGTTGATTTCAGGTCGTTTTTTTCGCATGTTAGTCCGGTTATGTTATTAAATTTGAATAAATGATTATGCGTTCTATAAGTCCTTCCGCGGCTTTGAAGTGCCATTTCTACTCGCCTCTATGATTCGGTGAAGCTTTCAAGGCTAGCTGCGGCCAAAAACATTTGTTCGAAAAATTAAAAAAAAATTGTTTATTCTAGCTAACTCAACCTGAACTTCAACTCGAGTTAACTCGAGTTATGTTTATTACGAGTTAGCACATCTCTAGTTTATTATATGTCGTCTCGCGCCGAGCGTACACGGGCCTCCGTGCGCAAGAGGGCAGATATTCCCTGCGCAAGCATCGCGGAGTAGAGACGTGGAGCTGTAGCTAACGAGCCGATATTATGTCGATAACAACTTACATACCAGGAGATACGAGAAGACATCAATAATAAATAAGTGAACTATAACGATGTTGCCAAGTTTTTGAATTTTTTAAATAGTGTTGTGGCACTATTGGAGTGCCTTTCCATGGCTACAACAAAAAGAGGACGAGGCAGGCCACCAACAACCTGGTTGACTAATGTCCATAGGGGTATGAAGGAGTTGGACCTGTCAAAAGACGATGCTTACCAGCGAAGTGTATGGCAACCCAGGATTAAAAAAGCCGACCCCGAGTACCGGGAAGAGGTGAGGATGAAGAAGACGAAAAAGAAGTTGTGGCACTATCAGATATTAATATTAATTACCAATTATTGTAGGTTATTCAGAAATAATGTTAATTTATAATGCCTTATCAGAAAATTAATGAAGTACATAATGGTTGTTGTATCAAAACAGATTTTTTTATTATAAAAATCTGTCGTGGAAACGTCTTTTAAAGCTTTAAAACTAATATTAAAATATACGTTTCCGATTAGTCAAATCTGTATCGCAGGTACACCACTACTCTGCTATAGGTGGTAACATTATTTGAAAATTTGAAATTTGCACCTATTAATTTAGTCTCAAAAAACAGACTATAGAATCTCTTGGTGAAGTGATTGCGTTAAAAATTAAGATTTCATTTTAAATAATAGTAATAAAGACAATTTATTCAGCATTGCATAATGTTTTATATTTATTATATAATATACTAAATAGTGAGCAGAATTGAATGAGAGTAAAGTCACGAATAGCAATCTTTATTCCGAAAATCTCCTGCATAGCTCTGATGACCTAGTACTTATTAATATTTCTCTATAGAAATAAATAGTGGGCGGAATTGAGAGTGAGAATCTACACTTTCACTGAATCGGAATTTTTATTCCAGAACTCTCCTGTACCTTTCTGATTACCTAGTACTTTACTCGTAATTTCACTGTAATATCTTTTACCCATCCTTTCCAACTTTAAACGTAGTTTTACAAAACACGTAATAAATAGAAGAAATAAGGATAAAATTTCGTAAAAGTGTCGATTTAAAGTCTTAATTGTGTACTATATAGCTTGAATATAGTATGCCATATATGTACTTCAGCATAATATCTTGAAGTGGATGAAAACTTTATACAACCTGCCAATGTTTACAAATATAGTACATTGACGACAGGCTATCGAACTTTGTTTTTTTTTATTCCTACGAACCACGACAATGTTTATATTCTGCCATATCTAATTAATGGGAAGCTAAATTATGCAAATAAACAGGTATTTTTCTCTAAAACAAATTTATTTACCATATTATCTGATAATTAAAGTGTTGTCATAATTGAAAACGATTTTCAGGTAGATTATAAGCAATCGTCTTGTTAAAATAAGTGGCATGCCATAATTATACAATAAAATACCAAAGGATATCCACGAATTACCTTTAAATAAATTTAAAACATCTTAAATCATATTTACTACTATAGCAA